AAACCCCGCCGGTCTGGCAACCCTCGAGGACAACAAGGGACACGGTGGTTTTATGGTGGAGTCAGTGGCCTCGTGGAGGGCGCTGGCCGCAATAAGGTCGTCTTCAGAAGCGGTACTAGGCAGAGGCACGTTTGGACTCGGAGATCGCGAGCCGGAGATCACACCGAGTAAATCCTCGCTCCTGGAATGTCTCATTTCCATAGCACCGTATCTTCCGGTGGTTGTCGTCATCCTTCTACCGAATCACCGTAACACGCTCGATTTTTCCACGACCGCGACCCGGTTACACGTGGTCGTCCTCTTTTCCTTCGTTCTCGTTACCACGACGACCTAGACAGCCCGAAGGAACCGACTACGATCTAGTTCTCGCTACTCCTATCCGGACTGGCCTCCTCTTACTACCTTTTAGTCGACTCCCTAGAGAACCGCGATCCACCGATTTTCATCTCCGAGATATTTTCTCTCTTTCGCTCCTGTTTCGCCACCGTTGCTCCTTCCACTTGGCGCGCTTCTCTTCCACTTCCACGAGAGCGCACGTCCTCCGATTCCTTCTTCGTTCGCGGCCAACTAGAATTCCTATCGTCTTCTTTGCGTTCTAGTTCATCGCTCGATCTTTCACACCAAGTGATTTCTCTTTGACGTTTCTTTCTACAATCTTTTCACAAGAGGATAGCATAATCGTCCAAGCAAAAGATAACGCTCGTCTAACTTTAAATCGCCGCTACACACTTTCTCGATCTCCAGTATGAACACGCGCACGTCGGCCAAGCATCAAATACCACTGAGGGTAACGGACTTTTGCGTCAACTATCCGTTACGTATATTCGCACGTTGGTACGCGCATTACCGAACATATCACCGATCGCGCCACTTTTTCGGTTTCTTCTCTTCCTTCGATCAACTTGCATTCGAACGTGTCCCTACGAGTTGCCAGGTATCACGTCGAGATACCATTAACAGGATCAACAGGACGTATCCTCGTCATGGACGAATCCACGTTTCGATGATCGTGCAAAGATCTGTCGGTCACGAAACAATCCACGAATCTAATCGCCGATCAGATTCAAGCCGCCATTTTTACTCGATTCTATGAATATTGTTGTATCGTATCTTTTAAAAAAACACCAGACACACAGTACACGACGATTATTCTGCTCTTTGTAATTAAAGTAATTAGAAAAAGAAGGGTGGTTCTTCTGGACGGACCATGCGCGGTAAACACGATGCACACAAGTACCTGGGAGCGTCCACTTTGCACAATAACAATTTTACTTCACACGATTCTTCCGCACACTGTGCTCGTTCGTAGATTTTTCTGCCGTTCCACCTTTCTTTCACGAGCTACGACCAAAGTCTGCCGTAACGGGAACCGACGAAGCCGCTTTATCCTTTCGCAAAGAAGGGGCATACGAGAAAGGATATACCTGCGCTCTTGCGCGTTCGTCAGGGATATAAGCTGGCATTGACCAATAAACGTCCCTCTGAGGAAAACAGGTCACATGACAGGTCACAGGTACAAAATCCTTCAACCTTCTCCCTTTAATTTTCTTCCAGGTAGATAACTTGCGATTTTATGATCGTTCTTTTCAAAAATGACGCGCAATTTCATTAAAGCCATTGAAATGATCACGACATGACATCTAGTGTTCTCAATCGTTTTAAACGTTCTATTTCTTCGTTTCCTCGTAATTTTGCATATAATGTGGCCTTAACGAAAGGGAGGTTAGTCTCTGTTTAAATATTGCGTATGCTTTGCATTGTCTCGTGAAAAAAAATATGTTACACTGCGATGAAAATAAAGCATGAGATTGTTGAGTCGTTCGATCATTTGTACAAACAATACTGTAACAATATAATACTATGAATGTTCATCATGATTGCGATTATCAAACTTATAAAAAGTTATACAGGTTACAATACTTCGGTCAACGTCCAAAATTTTGATGTTGCTTTACCGACTTCCATGGTTGGCAAAGTTATGCATGTAATTTCCCTATATATGTATTTCCTAGAATAAGCGTTAGCAATTGGTACTTACAGAGAGGAAATCTCTGGTACTTGCACGGACAGAAGAATCCCCACCGTAAACAGTGGTTTCATGGTAAGGCGATCTATGAACGTAGAAATTCGTAAAAACTACATCAAATACAAAATATCGTACAAATATCGAAATAATCTAAAGGTGGAGTAAACATTGCTATCTGTTTGTGCTTTTACGAGATTTATAGTACAATACGGTTTTACTTACCTACTTACAAGTTGACAAGTTGATACTAAATTCGAAATTTATGAAAATTCGAAAAGTGAAAAATTCATTCAGGATGTGTGATGGAATATTTCGGTGGTAGATAATCGCAAAAATTCTAACTTAATCAAACGATAGTATACATGTAAGACTATCATTTTCTTACTATGATTAACAGATATTATTTGCCTACGCCTACACATGTTCTAGATTTTGGAACATTGATTGTATTGTTGCTTATAGCATAGATGGCACCTCGGTGGTGTTTTCAGGTATTATCTTATTCCCGCTATTTCTCGATGAAATAAAGAATAACTTGTGCTGTTATTTTTATTTTTAATTATCTTATATCTCACTAACGCTTTCACATTATGACGAGTTCTGTCAGTACAAATCCATCAACATTATTGCCTTTAGGTAAGATGCGCCTTGTTTACAAATTTATATTTAACCTCACTTTTTTGTTTTGGTTATCATATTATTAATAATTAATTTTCATTAATTTTCAGAATTAGTTGACAAATGTATCGGTTCTCGGATACATATTATTATGAAAAACGATAAAGAAATTGTCGGCACCTTGTTAGGTTTTGATGATTTTGTAAATATGCTGCTCGAAGATGTGACAGAAAGCGAAGCAACACCCGAGGGACGAAGAGTCACCAAGCTTGATCAAATACTGCTTAACGGAAGCAATATCACAATGGTTAATTCATTTTTGTACTTTTAACGATTTAAAATACCTTCTTGAATACAATTATTATTAAAACTATTTATCAGTTTGCTAGTTTTATATAACAAACCGTTTTTTTGCAGCTTGTACCTGGTGGAGAAATGCCTGACACGTAAAAAAGTAACTTTCTCTGGTATATTTTGTACAATAAAAATTTGATCTGTAATTTACGCGTATCTACTACAGAATATTAAAAATATCTGTCGATTAAGAATAATAATTCAAATAAATATTAAGAACAAAGTAGCATATCGATCTTGCTTATTACTTCGTTGGTTGTAATTCTATCAGTAGCATTTTGTGACCACATTTGTCTATACAATGTTTTATAGACACCTTGAAATTCATCATCGATATTATCATCTGCAGGGCGATGTCCCTTCACAGAAAGATAAATAATCGTATGACTATGTAATCCAGCAAATGGCAGTTTTCTAAATAACATTTGCCAAGCTACAATTCCTAAAGAGTAAATATCTGCTGCAGGAGTCAGTTTATTTTCTTTTATTACTTCTGGAGCAGCATATCCTGGTGTACCCTAAGAAAAAAGATCTTTTTCTTAATAAACGATATAAATGATTATATAGTAAAAACATACGTGAAATTTATTAATTCCATTTGACTCTTCTATTAATACGGAACTACCAAAATCTGTAAGTTTTGGTTGACCGTCTGCAGAGAGTAATATATTTTTAGGCTTGACATCTGCATGAATGACACCAGCGTTATGACAAAATTGCAAAGCACAAGTTATGTCCTTTAATACACAAATTCTTTTGGTTTTAGTTAAGACTGTTTCCTCTAGATATTCTTGTAAAGTAGGGCCGCATAACTCCATTGTTATTAAAGATAGAGAAGCACCTTGTTCTATCATTAGCACTTTCACGATATTAGAATGTCTTAACAAAGAAGCATGTTCTTCACCCTTCAATGTATTGAAACATTTTTCTGTTTGCATCACTTTAGCTGCAACTTGATCACCTATCAAGAATTTAGTATTCAAATGTGTTTAGTTTTGATAATAATTAATTAGAGAAAAATACTAATGACATTTTACCTTTATACAATGCTTTATATACAGTACCAAATCCTCCACTTCCTAGACATGTACCAGTTTTAGCGGGTAGACCATTTTTCAATATTTTTTGTCTATTGGGAGTATCAATATTAAAAGGAGACAGTTGATTTCTCTTCTCAATACCTTTTCTATATGTCTCTTTTATAGGAGTCTTTGGACTTAGCAAAGTTCTATGATAATGCAACACGAAATGTTTTCTTTAAACAAACGAATGCTTTATACAAGTGCTACAAACAAGTGTTGCTTTAGTATTGTACTACCTTCCATCCACGTTTTTTAATATCTGGGGTGATATGTTACAAAATTTCGTTGCCAATCTTTGAGGTGAAGCCATTTTGTACATTAGAATTACATATAGTCGCCTAGTTTCTTGATACTTGAGAATACAATAATAAAAGTATATATTTTTTGTTTCCAATGTGTCATGAACTTTAAGTAAACATTAAGAGAATAAACAACAATCAAGTGACAATGAATAAGCATGGAAGTATAGAAATAACGTAGTATCATAACGATTACAAACTTGAATTTGAAATGCAAGGACGTAATTTTAAAAGGCTACAAAATGGAGGGGAAATAAGATGTTTTATTTGTTTGTTTTCTAATATAAGGCATAAACCATCTAATAGGAGCCTATTACTAATTATTACTTTTTAATACTGTATGACAACTAGATTATTTACAATTCTTTTATGAATTCATAACAATTCATACTTATCATGATAATCTTTCAATATAGGTAATATCAGTAGTATGTATATAATAACATGTTAATGTCTAGACATATCTAATGAAATTCTGTGTTATTTCATGCTAATAGTACATGCTCGTAAGTACTACTACCGTGTGTTTTTACAATTCTGGCCCTCTATCACAATTATGCAGCGCAATGTTATTGTTGATTCGTAGCTTTCGTACTTTTGTATAAACAAATAATAAGTAATGCGATTATATATATTTTTTCTTTATGGAAATATTAAGATTAGGTCTGAGTGTTATTTAATAAAGTACTTCAGCGGATTAGCAAAATATTTTAACCGATTAAAATAGAATGTCTTTCTTTTTTTTATAACAGCATCTAAAATATTAATTTTAGTAATTTCTTTTTATTGCATGTATTCAACATACGATGACATTATTATTATTATCATTATTATTATTATTATAGCTTGGTCTTGTTTAAAGTTTAAAAATTATTCATTTGTAACATCAACTATTATTGTAAAATTAACAATCACCACAAAATAATTGCCAATACTGATCAGTTATGAAATAAAGTATATAAGTAAAGGCGAACGTTTAAAGACTTCACCACTGGCGCAGTTAGGTCTCGTCAATGTTAATTTTGCTTATATATTATCTTTAAATAAATATACGACGACAAATTTAAATAAACTCTGTTTGAAATATGTAAAAATGGCTTAAAGTCGATCTAAGCTTTCTCAGAAATATGTAGAGTTCTTTTAACCCTACTCTACTAATCAAAGTATTCTTTTCCTGAATCTAACAATGTTACACGATGCTTCTCTAGATGTGTGTTTGGAGTAGTTCTTTGTTTGCTTAAATAAATTTATGCTATTTTTAGAATCAAATATATTCAGCGAATAAGAAATATGAAAAAGATATTAAAAATTTTCAATGTCGTACGACATTATCACTCAAAAATATAGTAAAAAAGAATTATAATAGAACTAATCATGCAATACAGACAAATGTATAAATATTTTTTATTGCGTAAAAATCTACTGCCGCATTTTTACTCTTATTTATAATACGAGGGATTGACTTAAAGTGTTGCCAATGGCATACAAATATAACTTCTACTGTCTAAGAAACTACATATTTATGGAAAGATTTTCACGAAAGAAGAAAATTTTCCATGGGAAAAGAATCGATTTGTAATTGGCAGAACAATAAATTTGACGTTTAAGTACATATAGTCGAAATATAATGAAATCTGTCGTTATTTACGTTTGTAACATTCAAGTTCGTTTTTAAGTTATTTATAAAATATCGTTTTCATCTAGGAATAGTGATTAATATTGGAGCACATATTTAACGGATATTGCTAAATGATTGTAATTCTTCGCACGTCGTGCTAACGAGATACGGTCCTAAACAAATTGTAATGTAAGACTTTTAATATCGGTCGATGAGAGCAACTAATGACAACTATTCGAACATTTCCTTATAAAAGATTTAGTTTTCATTCGTCTACGTTAGCTCTGCATAGACGGACCAGCACCATTTTGTAATTTATGACCTTTTGATTTGGCACTCTCGCATCTCGTGCCTTTACGCCTAAATTTTCCTGAGCAACGTGTCGTTCATCACCGTCCTGTGTAGAGGCATTCAGAGGCACCTTTTTTCCCACCAAGTCGAAAAGAAGATGAAACGAATCTTGAAGTTTCCACTACGATTATGTTAGATAGTATGTAGGTATCGAATATCGCTTGCATTTTATATCCTACTCCATAATAAATGAACTTTCTTCGACAACAAACTATACCGATTCTAATTAGTTTGTATCCAAACTGAAGCAATGACTCTCGATGGTTGTTGTGATTTGATAAAATTTAGTTGTTCAAGTACCTACACATATCCGACGCAGGCGTGATAACACATCTTTTCGTTTCATCTTGTTCACATCATCCTCGATTATTTACAAATTTTGTAGTACAAAATAATCTTTACGAATTTAACGAGTTAACACCACCGTTGGGAATCAGACCCCTCTTATTTATCTCTTATCTACGTTCCCTCTTAATTCATTGGTATACATACATATTTGCTCTTTCACGAAAATAGACTCTTTTTTTTTTCAAGAATTCGCGGTAGTATTCAGAGTCGCTCTGATACGTGACAGGAATTGGAAGTAACAGAAAGCACGAATAGATCCTTTGGACAGAAGGGAGAAGAAGAAAACGATGCGGGCGTGGGGATAGAGGAGGGAAGAGGGGAAGTATTTGTTGGACAAGTCGAATAAGGCACTATCTAACCAGGTAACGGAGCTTCCTCGTAGAAATCTGGCTCGTCCTCGGTACTCTCGTGTTCCGATCCTTTGCTGTCGAGTGCCCTTAGCTCTGCGGCGGTAAAAAAATGCCTCATCTGAGCTCGTAGAGGTATCATGAGAATCAGGAAGAACGGAAGCGCCAAGGCCGCCCTGGTACTTTTCACGATCCACAGTATAACCAGGCACAGAATTTGTACGAGGGTGAAGATGTGCATCTTGTACGTTTGTACGCGCCGAACGTAATTAGCCGTGCCATGGTGTTTCACCGGCATGAAAAACAATTTCACACGATCGAACAGTTGAACACCGTTCGTCGAGGAGATACCCATGTAGAGAAACACCCCCAGAAGGACGGACATTGGTACGCGTCGTAGAAGCGGCGCCATCAACACGCTTATGCCGATCAACACGGCGACTAATAGGGCGCTCACTCGTTGCTCCTTCACTTCGACGATGTGCGGTTTATCTCCGGGAGCGTGAGTGCGAGACATAACCGTCACCGCCGAGACGTGTGTCAGCGATCGAACCGAGGCAGCGCAACACCACGGGGCGCCCATTAAACCACAGCCGACGTTCATTAAGCACACTACCACTATATCCATGTGGTACCCGTTACCTTTCCGTAATTTACGTTCTTTCTTATCGATGATGAGTCTATAAAAAAGAAACAAGAGGGAATGTTTAATAAGGCAAGGGGTTTATAACGGATCTGTTGAAAGAAGACGAAGACGACTACTTACTCGGAGATTTGAGTCTCCATGAAAACAAGGATATAGACCAACAATGCCGGCACGATGCAAGCCATAGCCATCCATAGAGGAATAGGTTTATGTATGCCAGCTGGTGACACGATCCAATCCCTATCGGGCATAGTCGGTGTTAAACCCTCCGGAACCAGTAGCTTCTCCGTCTTCACTTTGGCCAGATAATCGATCAACGCGAATACGACAATACTGATGGGCACGCCGAAGTCACCGAAAGCTCTTCTGGCACTTCGTCCGAGGTAATGACTGTTGCGGAAGATACGCAGGTAATAAGCACCGAGAAAAGTACCGAGACACAAAATGGTGCACATCAAGGCCGTGTTTGGTTGGTTCATTAATAAGCCAGCGGCGTTATGCGATGGTATCAGAGTTTGAGGTTTGTCCGATGAAATGCTAATTATTTCGCCGGTCTTTGGGGAAACGACCTTGATCTCTGTTACGTTCAGCTCTTCGTAAAACGTTTCGTTCGTCTCGGGGATGAAACTGTACTCGTCCAGCAGCGGATTCTTCACGAAGTAATTGTACAATTTGATGAACGTTTCAACGATATAAAGAATAGAGATTAAGCCCGTGAAGATCTCTTCGGTGAACCGGGTGAAGAGTCTGACCAGCACGGATCCCTCCACGCAGGCAATCGCCAAGGCTATGATGCCCATCCATACACCGACGTAGACTCTCACGGTCAGGAATTCTAGTCCGTTCGCGAGACAGAAATTGTACAAGCTTTCGTCGAAGAGCAACAAGGGGCCGGTCGTGCCGATGATGACCAGTGGCTGAGTGGAGAACAAAGCCATCACCACCCCGGTCCACGAGCCAGAAATCAATGTCTCGGAGATGCCGATAACGTTGTGCGTCTTGTCGCTCATCAAGCCACCGAACGTGATGGCCGTGCAGAGGGCCGCGAAGTACATGAAGATAGCCGCTGCGAGGCAAGACGAACTCAAGCCATCGGTGAAATCAGACAGATAGTAAGGATAGCGTCTCTTGATATCGTTGATGAGGCAACCGAACGGACGTCTGGTTCTTCGAAGCGGATCGTCGTCATCGGGAGGTTTCTTCTCTTCTTCGCCGGCAAGAAGAGCTGTGACAAACAAGACGCGGATAAATCACGCGTGCCTATTCTTTTTCGCCGGATCTCGTTGATCGAACGTTAAAGTCGTCTTACCTTTCTTCACAGCCATCTCGTTCTGAATCTGTTTGGTCTTGTCCTCGAGCGCTTTGGCCTTCCGCTTCCTTATGGCTTCGCTCTTCGCCTTCAGCTCGTTAAAGGGTAACAACGCCTGTCTCTCCCAATCTCCAGGAGGCAGAACGATCGAGTCGTCTAGGAATTCATTGATCGCGGACAGAAGCTCGCGTCTCTCGTTTGCTTTGTACGCGACTTTATGGAACGACGTATTGGCCATCAGCGTGGCGATCGATCTACCGATTTCGTGATAATCTAGGTCAGCGTTCCTCGGCCCCAGCAACGTGAACATGAATCTTACTGGTATCGTGACTTCCGTGATCGATGGAATGAACACACCCTCGGCGAGCCTGACGAACGCGATCGTCGGTTGGTCCAGAAAGTCGACCGCGCCGACCAGCACGACCGTCGCCTCGGCGCCAGCCGGGATCCTCTTCAGGATGTAGTCGTTGTGACTCTTTTTCAAGTCCTCGTTGCTGCTCGTGTACGTCAGCTCCTCCTTCATATCGACCACCGTGTGGTTGCTGTCCAAGGCCAAGTTCGACGATACGATCTTTGGTTTCGTGTCGTTCAGGTTCTACATGGAACAGGAATACAAGTTACAATCGTTCGAACAACGTCCCGGCCACTTGCAGTGTATGCATACGATGCGTTTGGACCAGGCAGAGGTTTTCAAAAAAGGATTTCCGTCCCTAATCGGACAAGCGATAGAGAATTTTCCTCGCGCAGAGGCGGATGACGTGTTCTACGCGATCGTCCTTTCCTTATCCAATTAACAAAACGATCTGTCGGATCGCGTACCGAGTTCCATTCCCTCCGCCTCTGTTTTAAGCTCGAGGAAAAATCGCAGACACCCTGACAGACAGTCCGAGATACATACCGCAGGATAAAATGCTACTTAAAGTTCAACAGGTATATGTATTATACTAAGCGAGAATCCGTACAGAAACGAACAAAATCGTAAAAGGGACCATTAAACAGTTCTACGTAATGCAATAACGACACAAAGGAAACACATACCGAACGAAGAAGGCAAGAATTAAAAAAAAAAAAGAAAAAAAAACAACAAATAAAGAAAAGATTACTAAAGAGGATGAAAACAGAATAAAGAGAAACAGCATCGATCTGAAAAGTGAAATGCCAATGAATGAAAGTGCAATCGGTACGTAACGACCAAGCGTACGATGGTTACACCGTCCTGGCTCTGTGTGTGTCAACAGTGTATCCACGTTTGGTATTCGAAAATACCAAAAGAAGGATATTGAGAAAGCTCGTTGTGAACGACGAACGTAAGTGTGAAAGAAGAAGAAAAAAAAGGAAAAAAAAAAGAAAGAATCGCAAGCCAATGGTGGGACGACATATATACCCATGGACTTACAGGTGTTGCGCTAAATACAAATCGCACGGAATAAGGTAGAGTTCTACGAGTTAAACGGCGAGATGCCATTCTCCTACGACATCCTCCCTAAAACTAATTCGCGTTACTGCTTATACGCGTAAACAATACGAAACGCTATTTACCGCGATCGATACTCTGCTATCTATGAAAATGGACATTGACACGATTTCTCCCGCGTAATGTACATGTGCATCCGCGTGTGAGACGTTTTCCCGATGCACACGATCAGACGGGAGAAGATAGGGAAGCGACGAGAAAAAATTGGGAAGACACACTCATTTCCCCTGTAAGTTCATGCCGAAAGATGTTAATGCGTAAATATCGGTACGTAGAATATAAAGTATAGTATATGTATGTATATATATATATCATATATATGATCGATGGTGGGCAAGCCGTAAACTAGCGATAAAGGTTGAAAATTCTGCGTTTGTAAGTCGGGAAACGAGAGATTTACATGTTGGGTTACATGGTTCTCAGAGGCTTCCCGTTCAGCGTCCTCTTCCTCCAGACAGACGGACTGTGGAAACAACATTAGGGCACACGGTCAGTCAGGCCTGCCGCTTCTACGAATTTCTATTGATTATTTCTCACGATATAAAGTTTCTTTAGCATCGTTCAATTATTTATATAGCGGAAACTTTAGTAATATCACAGCTTAAAGTTGATCGAGCGAGCACGTTAATATTGCAGCTAGAAGCAGTCTATCGACTTGGAACACGCGTTCGCACGATAACGTTGCCATTAGCATCTTCTCTTTTTTCCTAATAGCTACGATTCGTTCGGGTCTCGATCACGGAACGAAACGAACATCGAGAACCGTACACGATGTTCGATACTAGAGACACGGCGCACGGTTATTGTTACGTATCGTTCGAGAGCGACCGTGTTCGAGCAGCTCGTCTAACGTGAAAAGGAGATTCTGGCGGCAAGAACAATTACCTGTAGACTGGTGTAGCTGGAATAGTTGCGTTTGCCGCCAAATCGGAAACCACGATCGTGATCGTGAACGTGCCTGTGCCTGAGAAGCAGAGCTCTCATCACTACCGGCCTATCCTCCGCTAGAATCAGCTCCTCGATTACCATTTGCTCGACTACCCTATACGCCAGACCGGGCAGATCCTTCTCCTCGAGATCCAGAAGGACCACGCCGGTCTCCAGGCATCTACGTAGGTTCAGCAGAGAGTGGAAGCTCAAAGAGGCTACGTGGGGCCTGCCCCATCTGTCCGCGCCTTCCTCCACGTCTTCCTCGTATTTGATCCACCGAGCTGTTTCTCTCCATTCTCTCTCCTCGCCCATTCCGTACAGTTCGTCCAGCTGAACGAACACCTCGTGAGGCGAATGGTCGTACATCTTCTTGAAAGTATCGTGAGGTATGCCGCCTTCCTTTTTGCGGCCGATCTGCACCGTCGAATGGGCGGC